TTTTTGAGGCTGTAAATCTTTACGGGAGCAGAACACTTCATCTTTCTCCTGTGGAACAGCTGGTGGTTTCGAACTGCTGACTTTATGGTTCACAGCCCGATCCGTAACCACTGTGATACCAGAGCTCCTTATATACACATGTTGTTGTTGTCAAGTGCCATTGAGTTGATTCTGACCCATAACGACCTTGTATAGGGTTTTCAAGGAGTAACTGGTGAGCTTGAACTGCTGATCTTGTGATTCAAATGACTTTGCAGTTGGTGCATTAACTCACAGCACCACACCGGGACTACATATACATATAGATACACACACACACAAATGGGGGCTTCAAAAATCTGTGGAAAAATGGAATTAAAATATAATGGATTTTTTTCTATGAATCTTTTGAATTCCCCTTATATAATACTAGGAATAGATTTCATAGTGTGAATATGGTGCACTAAGATAATCAGAAATGATACTGACTCGTCGAAACAATGAGCAGCTGTTAATATCCACTGGTTCCCAATGATGGTGCCTCCACACAGGTGTCTCTGGATGGGTGACATGACTTGCAAAGTTATCTGCCATGGCCACTCACCATAAAGAGATGCTGTTCCTCCAACAATTCTGGGATTTATTTTGGTTGTACACACTATAACAGAAGGTTTGCAATGATTAATTTCCTAAATCTTCATTCATTTTCTATTAGTAGTTATGTTTCTTCAGGTATAAAGGGTAGAAAACCTTCCTACAATTCAATAGTTTACCATGACTTTACTTCATGAAGCTTTATAATCAGGTTAGCAAAACAAAACATGCACTTAAAAGTGTATGCCCACTTTTATCTTGAGAATTGCATGCCATTACAAATCCCAAATAATTCTACCATCTTTATATGGTACTATAAGGCTGTCTTACCCTGAATAAAATGTTAACACTATGGCTTTTTTAAACAGTCATTGTCAAAGTGTGATCCTCAGACCAGTAACATCACCTGGAAACTTGTTAAAATATATATGTTATTGAACTCTACCCAAGACCCATTGAATCAGAAATTCTGAGGATTAAGCCTAATAATCTGTGTTTCACAAGTCAAGCTAAAGTTTTAGAACTACTGTCATAGAGAAAAGTTGAACACCTCTTCACCTCCAATTGTTTGTTTTCTGTCTTCCATTCAGAATGATCTTTGCTGATCACACTCGCCACCTCTCCAACATCTGTTTGTGTACTGCTTTTCCCCTTTGTCTTTGTCAACTGTTTTGGTGTTCTCTTGCCTAATTCTTGCTACTTTTAAAGGACTTTGGCTTAGACTCACACGTCTCTTTCTTTTTGTATACCCTGGGCAGGATGGTTCATCCGTTTCCTCTTCCTTAGCTGCCCACTTTCCTATTTAAATGTGGAGTCTAGTTCAGTAGGTCTGATGGAATGCCTGACATTATTTTGAACAACTTTCTAGATAATGCTGATGTGATGTAGTGGGTTACGTGTTAGGCTGCTAACTGTCTTATTCACTTGTTGTTGTTAGGTACCATCGAGTCAGTACCGACTCATAGTGACCCTATGCACAACAGAACGAAACACTGCCCAGTCCTGGACCAACCTCACTATTGTTGCCACGCTTGAGTCCATTGATGCTGCTACTTGGCCAATCCATCTTATTGGGGGTCTTCCTATTTTTCTCTGATCCTACCTTTGTGTAAAACAACCTCTCTGGGTCTTTCTTTCCTTAACAGGAATATATATGTTCAATTCTGAAATTCTGGGACAGTATTCAAATACTAGAAGAGAACTGGTGTGTGTGTGTGGGTGTGTGTGTGTGTGCAGGAAACACCAACTGGTAGCATGCTGAGGCTGGAATGAGTTTGAAGTGTTTGTAGAATCCTGAGCAGGCTGGTATACTGAGAGGAGAATCCTAGAGCACGATCATTTGAGATTTGATATGGTAGAGATTGATTTTGGAGGGCCATTTTGAAGATTTTTACTACATTCTGAAATTATGGGGTAGCCCTTATAATTTACAAACTGGGAAGTAGTATAAAAAGCAAAATCTAGGAAAATTAATAGGTATACAGTAACCGAAGTATGTTATAAATAGCTCAACAAACACCTTATTAGATATGACTTATAGATCTTGAAGCTTATTCAGTTTTTTCCCCAGTTCATATAAAATGCTGAAACTATCTGGTTAGCAATAATTTTGTATTAAAAAAACTTTCTTTTCATGCATTTGTTCTGTATCTTCAGAAAATTAGTTATATTATCGACCAATGACAATACAAGACACAATAAACATCTCAGGTATTTCTTCTAATACTGGGATATTATTTCATCCTATATGATGGGGTAAAGCCTAGTTATCTATGTAGTTTCACCTAATTTAGGAGGTGTACTAAAAGCCATGTGATTTTATTTTCCTTCATCTTATATTTTCTGCTGCAGCGATCAGTCTGCACCTACCATAGTCTATAACTTCTAAGACCAGAGTCTATAAATTCAACGGAAGAGAGCATAAAGAGGGAGGGAAAATGGAATATGTAGTCTGCAATTTTTTAAGCTGTAAGTGCTAGCCTCATCTTAAACAGTGTTAACATCACTAAAACAAAGTGTGTTGTGTTTCCTCAGATGCTTAGAAGTAGAACTAACACAACAATTATTTTGAATGCTTCTTTTTGTCTCAGGTAAATTTATTGTGAGGGCAACTCCTATCAGAAACAACTTAATTGATTAGCTTTTAAAAGAAAGTTGGACCACCCAAAGATTCTTATCAGAGCTCCTCTTAACTCTAGGAAAACATAGCTTCCTAACTAATATATTATATTAAGCACATTTTAAAACCTGTAGGTTTTACAAAACAAGTTATCAGAGGTTAAGCTTTGATTAATCTTCTCAGTAAAGCCAAAGACTGATGCAAATAAACTTTATGTTTATGAAACTATTACAAAGTATTACATCACTTCCATTTAATTTTTTTTATCTCAGGTCTATCTTAATTTAAAGTATATTACAATATTGGATATTAAGCAATTAAGTTACAATCTAAAACACAGAGCTTTATGTAAATCAGTAGGTATAATAGGTTATTATCAAAATTAATGGAGGAATGTTTCCGGTATATTTCTTCTGTTGAGGTTTATATCCTTGAGAACGAATCTATTTGCCTACAAATCCTCCATGCTACTACTCTCAGATCGGACACACTGTTGCTTGGATTTTTTATTGTACTTTTTGTCATTACAGATTTTAATTAATCTAGTCAAGCTATCTATTTCTACCCTTTAGTGTTCACTGTTATAGTTTAATGAGGTTTTATTAGAATTCTGGATAACACTCATAAGTACGCAGAATCCTAGTATGAAATATTGAGAATTAAGGCCATGGAGAATGAGATACTCAGTATTTCTTGAGTAGATTAGTAATTTTAGCATATATGTTCTTCAATTAAAGATCAAGTATTTACCAATAGATGGAGTTCTGGTGAGGTGCTGTAGGATAAGCACTAGGCTGCTAACCTCAAGTTCTATGGTTCATACCTACCAACCCCACCTTGTAAACATAGGGTGGCTATGATTCAAAACTGACTCGAGGACAGCAACAACAACATCAACCAATGGGAAGAGAATAAATAATTTGATTAACTAAGGATCTGACTAATTTTTCAATGATAAAATATAAGCTATGATAAGAAATATCTTTGATCTTTATAATAAGAATCAGACATACAAATCTGGGTCTCACCACAAAAAATCAGTTACATTAATGTATAAAAATAAAAATACATGTTCACTTCATATTAGCTAGACAATGCAGAGCTTACTCAAGACCTTCTATCTTACTTTTAAAAACATGCTCAATGTGGGTGATGGGAATGAAAATAACAGAAAATTGCATTACAATTTATTTCACTAATTGTCCTCCCTACTGTGACTCTTATTGACCCCCTTAGTAATTATATACTCAAATAGTGTAACTCCTTAAAAGTATTTTAGCAAGTGACAAAATACTCACCATTATCCATTTTACATAATCTTAACGTGTATCCTGATATGCCACCTTTCCCGTGAAGAATTTTAGTTGGGGATCCATTCAAAGAAAGTTTTAAGTAACATTTACCTCTGCTACAGATAGGAAACAAAACATAATAAAATTACTGTTCCTCCTAAGGGATGGGACAGGGGCATCTATATAACTCTTATTATGTCTTACTTCCCTTTGTTGCAAGGTTCTTGAGATGGGGAATAGGTAAAAAATTGGCAGCGTATGGTATTAGTGCACATTTTCTGACAGGCTTCATGCCCTTCCACCTCAACAATGTCAAGTTCTTCTCCCAAGAAATGAGTGTCATGGTAAAATGATGAGTGACAGAACACTAGACAAGAAATCACATATCAGATGTAAGACAAATAACCTTAGCATTCCTCCTTCTCCTCAGCATTTGTGAATCACAATCAGAAGATAGTGCTCCATTGTTTACCTGGGATGCTGTGCCTGCAGTTTAGTAGACTGAAACCTGAGAAAGCATTGCTCTTTTTATAGCGTGTACTCGGTAATCCACTATCAGATGATTTCAGGAGACAAAGATTTCTAATAGAAAAAAAAAGAAAGCCCTATAAAGCATATACATACATATATACACATTTTTACAACACATGTCAGCTCATGCTGGCACTTAACAGTGAAGATTTTCTTAGTTTGAAAGTATTCCTCATGAACCATCAAGTGAGCCTCCATGATTCACAGGTTGTAGACACATTTTCAAAAGGAAACCATTGGCCTCTGCAAGTATTTTCTGAGCTTGTTTTGTTTGCTGTGCTCCTAGCTTCTCTCATCTTTGCTTCTTTCTTTTAGCACGCCCAGTCTACCTCAAGGATTTATGAATTTTCATATTACCTAGAAATCTCTCCAGGGCTGCTGCAGGTTCATCCGAAGGTAAGTGAAGCCCACCATATGCTCCATGTATACAGGCGGAATTTGTTTAGAGGGGGGTCCTTTTCCTAATTAGCACACTGGCATGTTCCAGAACAGTGAGGTTCAACAGAACCTTCTGCTGTGATATTTTTTATTTAGTCATCCAATATGTTAGCCTGAAGTGCTGTGGCTCTGTAGGAACTGGACTGCTAACCAGAACGTCAGTGATTTGATCCCACCAACTTCCCTTTGCAGGAAGACGAGGCTTTCTGCTCTTGCAAAGATCTACAAACCTTGGAAACCCCATGCAGTGTCGCTATGACCAACTCTTCGGCACTTAACAACAACAATTTTGTAGCTGTTTGCCTCATGTGGCTATTGAGTACTTGAACTGTGACTATGCAGCTAAACAAATGAGTTATTAGTTTATTTTTAATTTTAATCAATTTAACTTTGAATAGTCAAGTGTGGACTTAGAGCAGCTGTGTTTCCATCACAATCTGTATTGAGCATTATGTGTGTTTCTTATAATTATTGAAAATTTTGTAAAAGGGAATATGACAAAGAAAAAGATCAGTGAGTAATACAAAATAACAAATTATTAAAGAATCTGTCAAATTTGCAAACTTTATAATGCTCTGAGCCTCAGTCTTTGGACTGCCTTCCATCTATACGTATATTTGATTCTTTGAGGATATCACTGGTTCCAAGGTTTTAATCACAATTTGTATGGTGTTGACAGTGAAATATTGATCTAAAGTGTGGACCTCACTGCTGAATTTCAGACTTTTGTTTCCAATTGCAAATTCACCATCTCTCCCTGGATGTCCAATAATAAGCCCACTGCTGTCCAGTTGATTCTGACTTATGGAGACAGAATAGAACTGCCCCTCAGGATTCCCAAGGTGATAAGAAAGGAGACTGTCACATTTTTATCTCACAGAGTGGCTGGCAGGTTTAAACCACTAATCTTTTGGTTTGTAGTTGAGTGCTTAACCACTGTACTACGAGGACTCATTAGACATCTAATGCTGTTCTTAAGTGCCATTAAGTTAGTTCCAACTCATAGTGACCCTGCATTGGATTTCCATGGAGCAGCTATTGGGCTTGAACCACTGACTTTGTGGTTAGCAGTCCAGTATTTATACCACAGTGCCACACCAAGAATCCAGACATCTAGTGTTGTTATTGTTCTTGTGAAGTGTGGTACAGTTGGTTCCTACTCATAAGGTTTCCAAGAAACAGCTGGTGGGTTGGAACTTCTGACCTTCTGGTTTGAAGTTCAGTATTGATACTACAGTGCCACACCAAGACATCAAATAGGCCTCTTAAATTAACATTTACAAAACAAAACTCCCAGTATTATCTCTGAAACCTACTTTATCTATTCTCTGTACCTCAATGACATTTATATCCTTCCAGTTCTTAGAATAAAAAATCTTAGAGTCGTTGCATATTCTTTCCTTCACATCCCACATCCAAGTCATCAAAATTCTTAATGACTTTTCCTGGCCAAAAAAAAAAAATCCCAATATTCTCTATCACCTCCACTCAGCCCCAAGCAACTGTTAACTCTTGCTCCGTGGAGTTTTGTAGTAGTCTCTTATTTGGTCTGGCTTTGACCTCTTACCCCCACAGTAGCCTACATTTTCCTAGACACACTTAAATTTAATCGTGTTATTCCACTGCTCACAATCACTTCCCATCTTACTAAGGCAGACACCTAAAATGCTTAGTCCTTCATGGTTCTACATGATTTCTCCTACCATATACTATCTGACTTCAGGTCCTATCATCCTTACTTTCTCTCTTGACTCCATCCACATGAGTATACTTAGTCAACCTTACCAGGAATGAGCCAGCCTTGGGACCTATACATATGTCCTGGACTTTTCTTCACATGATTTGTTTCTTTACCTCATTTAGGCATCTTAACAAATACCATCTTTTCAAATGAGATATTCTTTGGATACCTTATTTTAAATGAAAGCATCATATGAGCTATCAAAAAACCTGTATCCCCTTTGCCTGATTTATTTTCTAAATGTCTTATCACCATCAAACATACTATATTATTTTGTAACCACTGGGACAAGGTTTTGTGCTTTTAAAAATCTATTTACTTTACTAATGTTAATTACAGTGCTCAACGCAGTGCCGAATCTCTAAATCAAATTCAAACCCATTGCCATGAAGTCAATTCTGACTCATAGCAACCCCATAAGACACAGTAGAACTGTCCTATAGGATTTCCAAGACTATAATCTTGATAGAAGCAGACTGCCCCATCTTTCTCCAGCAGAATTGTTGATGGGTTGGAACTGCCAAGGGCTTACTCACTGCACGACCAGGGTTCCTTGGCATATAAACCCAAACAAAGCCCACTGCCATTGGGTCAGTCCCAACTCATAGTAGCAGCACTATACAGGGTTCTAAAAACTATATATCTTTACAGGAACAGACAGACTCATCTTTCTCCTGCAGAGAAGCTGGTGGTTTTTGAAGCACCAACCTTGTGGTTAGTAGCCCAACTCCTAATCCACAGCATCACCAGTTCTCCTTATATTAAATCTGTTGAATAAATGAAAATAACAGATACATTTTTTTGCATGACAAACTTGGGCTTCTGAAATTACTGCCTCACTCAATGGAGGGGCAACAAACTCAAGTGTGTTTACCTTGGCTAAATTGCTCTAGGGGACCCTCACCCAATAAATGGGCACTCAAGTCAAGTATATCCTAAAGACTCTGAGGATTCTGGTCCAGGTTAACATAGAGAAACCCAGACCTTGAAGCTTGTTTAGTACTAAGATGTGTGTGTGTGTGTGTGTGTGTGTGTGTGTGTGTGTGTGTGTGAGTCTTATTAATGACAGGCAGCAGCACTAGCAAGTGTCCTTTTCTTTAATCAAATAACTCTTCATGCTTTATTACAGTTTTCCATGTTAATATTTATCAGTAGGGAAACAATTTCAAATCTCAAACTCCACTCTTCTTTATTCCCTTGATATAGGTCTTTATTTCCACCCCTCTCCAATAAGGCTCTACGGACTCAAGTGTGGCAACAGTAGTGACGCTGGCCCAGGATCGGGCAGTGTTTCATTCTGCTGTGCATAAGGTCGCCATGAGTCGGTACTGACTCAATGGCACCTAACAGCAACGATAACCAATGAGGTTTTGATTTGGGATTTCTAGCTCTTTCTGCTCTTATTTTTAAAGAAGAGATTTACATAAATTGAATTTTAATGGGTGTTCTTATTTCCTTCATTCCATTCAGAACCAGCCAATTCTATTTGCCAAAGCTAAGAGAAAATAAGAGTGCATTGGATTTGTGGTCAGTACATGAGAAAGAGCAAGAGAAGGTAGTCAGGAATTCTTCTGCAGCATTTATCTTATACATATTTTAGATTTAAATTTTAATTGCTAAGAATTTTTAATGACAGATTCTGATGAGCCAGTTTTTAAAAGATGAAAGAAAAAATTCTTAATCTTAACTCTTTTACCTTTCAGATTCTTTTGGCCATAATTTGGAAAAGAAAGTAAAAAATAAACAATTGGGATGATGAGTACAAATGCGACGGCAGACAAAAGCATCTGGAGCAAACGCACTGTCAATGTTATGGTCTGCAAACCCCGTACCAGGGAACATGTCCCGAATACAAGCTGTGTGAGAGAAAGAAAGAACGCGTGGAAATCCAGTCTCAAAACAAAACACATTCCAGTTGCAGTATTTGAAAATCTCATACCACAGAGGTTGTTTTAAGTTATATTTTAATTTAGAAAAAGTGATTCTTCTGAACTTAGAATATAAATATTTACTATATAGGACGTTATGAAATCTATTACATGAAGAAGACATTAGGTACATTTCATTGGTGGGCATAAATTGTTACTCTAAATTAGGTCGATCAAACATATCCTCTGCACCTACAATTTGATCGTTAAGCCACTTGATTAAGAAAACAATAGTTACCCAGGTTGGAAAGGGAACAGGATTTCAATGAAAAGCCAGATATCACTTGATTGACCTTCGTTATTCTGGTTGGTGTCCCAGTTTGGGAGTACTTCAATAGACAAATGTTACTGAATTATAAAAAGAAAGGAAAAAACAAAACAAAACATTTTTCAGTCTTCTAATAAGTAGGAAAGATCTAAATAATATGAAATCCTATTTAGGGAGGCCACTTGGGCATTAAAATACTTTCCTGTGTGCAGTAGTCATGTTGTTATTAAGTACTATCAAATCGGTTCCAACTCATAGCAACCCTGTATAGGATTTCTGAGGCTTGTAAATATTATCAGGAGAAGAAACCCTCATATTTCTCCCACAGAGTAGCTAATGAGCCAGTGTTTAGCCTATGAAGCCAAGAGAATATGCTGAAAAGTTCATCTAAGGGTTTGGATGACTGAACTTGACTTCTGGTACTGACACTATCTAGTGGTCATGTGAACTTGCTTAACATTCTTGAAAGGGAAGTCACATGAAGAGCAGTACTATATGAACTGAAGACTTCACAAGCCCCTTTCAATTTAGACATTTTAGGGTTTTTTACAGCTACTTGGAACTCACAATTTCCTTTCTTGCATTCACATTATGTTGCCTTACACGTAAAAGTTGTAGTTTGAACTAAGCAAAAGAAAAGCCAGGAAGATTGATTAATTTGGTTTTTTTTTTTTTTTTTTTTTTTCTTTCATTGTTGTTTTGGAATAAATCTTTGATAGATTTATTTGTTTTTCACATATCCCTTGTGAATCTGAAGAGCAGAATGGTAAAAGCTAATGTTGAAATTCTATTAATAGAAATTTGAATCTCTTTTTTTTATTGGATTCTAGATAAAAGTAGTTCACTTTTCAAATCTGTTGTTGTTTTTGTTGGCTGCTGTCAAGCAGATTCTGACTCAGTGACTGCACGTGACAAAGTAGAACTAAAGCGTCCTGGTAGCATTGTGGATTACAAGTTGGGCTGCTAACCACACAAGGTCAGTAGTTCGCATTTACCAGCCACTCTGTGGGAGAAAGTTGAGGCTGTCTGTTCTTATACAGATTTGCAGCCCTGAAACCCCATTCAGGGTCGCTATGATTCGGAACTGACTGCACGGCACACAACTGGCTATACTCCGCGATCTCAGAGGAAAGATTAGACCCAAGAAGGGGCGACGGGAGATTAGAAATAAAGGGAAGACATTTGACACAAAATGAAATAAGTAAAGTTTAGACCAGGTGGGAAGCAGCACTCTGATGGAGATACTGCTGCACAGACCAAGTGCAGCGAGTTTATATATACACAGCGCAAGAGGAAGTGCTTGAAGGAGGGTAAAGAGTACAAGAGCATCTTGTGCTGAAGGAGCATGCAGTAAGCGTAACTTAATCAGAAAAACTGTAACTTGTGGTAGCTAGCCGGCACATTGATTAGAGCCGTTAGAATGCTGTGCAGGCTGAGCCAAAGGACATAGCTAAATCCAAGGAAAGACCTTGCAAATTCCCTTGCAATTTCCCTGTCCTCTGAGGTAGCCTTGTAATTTCCTCAGGGGGCAGCTTGACTTGAATGCAGCCTGAGTTTCTGGACCACAACTGTTCAGTTGCAATCCTTCAGTTAAACTACCCCCAAGTCAGGGATCTTTGGCTCAGCTGCTCCCAACACACAATCCCCACCTCCTCCCCACCCAATCTTGACTGAAGCGGATTGCCAGGTTTTTCTCTCACAGAGACACCTTTCAATTAGCGGCTAAATGCTTGTTTACACCATCAGGCATCTTGAGTCAATCTGTTGCTGTAGCTAAATACTACTAACTAGGTTACTCGACCTCAAGTTTGGTTTGAACTGCAAGGTCATTAGTTCAAACTCACCTGCCACTCCTCAGAAATCCTATACGGGGTCTCTATGAGTCCGAACAAACTAACTGCACTTAACAACAACAACATAGGGTTTCTGAGGAGCAGCTGGTGGATTTGAACTGCCAACCTTGTGTTTAGCTGTCCAGTGCTTATACTACAGTGCCACATCAGGATATCAAAATCTTGAACATTTAAAATCCTTCTAAATATAAAAAAGTAATGATATTCTTCCCTAACAAACCTTTAATGAAGAGAATATAAATTACTTATTAGCTCACACACACACTCTGACATCACTCACATCCCAGCCCACTGACGCTCCTACTCTCCCAGTGTTTGGAGCTACAAGTTAGCTACACAGTTGTAAACTCCATCAAGGTGAGTTGGGTGATATCTTGTAACAACCGGGCACCTGGATTCAGGTGAGGCCTGCTGCAAACCTGTAATTTTCTCCTAATTGGATTTGTTAACTGGTATTTTTCCTTTCATTGTTTTCGTTTGTTTATTCTTTCCCTTCTTCCTCTCTTTACCTTCCCTTGCTTTTTATCCATTGTATCTCTACTTTCATTTTAAATTCTTCTTCTGTTTCTCTTGTCATACACCACACCCCTCTTACTCCTCCCCACCCCCACCCTCTCACTCCACTGCTGCTTCTTCTTTTTTCTCTTGAATTTTTTATGTTTTTATTTTTTTTTAATTACTCTCTGGTCTCTTTGTCTTTTAATCATCCCTCCCCCTAACTATGTTTAGTGAATGCTTTCCTTTTTTATCCCCCCCTCCCTTTTCTTTTATTTTACATTTAGTTTTTCTTTCCCTCTTCTCTCTTTGGTTATTGTATTTTTTTCTAGCTGGTGCCTGCTTTTTATCATCTTCCTCTTCTTTTTCCTCTTTCATTATTTTTTTCACTGTTGTTTGCTTGTTTACTTCTTTTTTCTCTTGTGTATGTACACTTTCTCTTTCCTCACCTCAGGGAAACAGCAACCATTCCCAGTCACAACTGTACCCTCTGCAGCATCACCAACTGGGCAAGGGCAAAGAGTAGCTCCTATACACCTAATCAACAACAACCAAGATCACGGAAACCCATGCTAAACATGAGCAGAGAACTGTGAATATGCTTCTTTTATCACACACACCAGGAGGCTGTTGTCATTCTCTTATCACACTCACCAGGAGGCTGTTGGTGAATGCTTAAAAACATACCATCATATGTTGTTGTTGTTAAGTGCCATTGAGTTGGTTCTGACCCACAGTGACCCTGTATAGGGTTTCCGAGGAGCAGCTGGTGAGCTT